ACACTCTTTTTTTAAATGAAAAATGCCAGGTCAGCTTTTTGGCAGGAATTTTGGCCGGAGTCACTAAAGTGATCTATTTTCCTCCGACTTGACACCAAAGTGATCCGAAAAAAAGTTATGGCACTAAAGTGATCGCTGTACACAAGTTATGGCACTTATAATGTCCTTTTGCCACAAGTTAGCTGTTCCAATTAATTATTCATTTAAGATTAGACTAAGGAGTCGCCACTAACCTATTATGGATTAATTAGAAGGCCAGGCCTACGATCTGAAGATTCACAAGTCTGGCACTTGATTACGCTAGATTAATCTAACGCTCTTTCGGTACCTTTAATTAAAAGGTTTGCACTCGGTCTCATCAATTTTGTTTCCCTAAATCCTCTAATAAGTGAAAGAAGATCATGCATAGCATTGGAACAGCAAAAATAACAAGCAAGCAATAATAAATATTAACCAAAAAAAAATATAGAGGTGCAAAAAAATAAAGAACCCTAATCATATCCGTTAAAATTCATAAAGCCTTATTGTTAAGGCCCGGACACGACTCTCATGAGCTATAAATGGAAACTCGATATAAACTCTCCAAGATAAACCACCACTTAATTATGCAAACAAGAGGTACTGTATGAATACTAAATAAATTATTTCCCTAAAATGAACTATGATATACAGAAATAAGAATCTAATTGATACTATCTAAATGTAAAGCAATCTGCTTCCGTTCCCTCACATGCAATCCTAGATGTATTTTTCGATGGAGATGCAATCTATTCTTATTTATTTTGTTTTTTTTCACCTTTTCCTTTAATTTTATTATTATTATTTTCAAAACACGAAATTGAACTAAGAAAGTCAACTGAGTGCTGAAATAAATATGCATGAATCAACCCATAAAGTTCAGCTCCATCACCGTCAACTTGATCGTCTACCATCTCCGATCAGTAACAGCCGCCGTCACATCTCCGTCGCTAACCACCAAAGCCTCGGCCGTAACGGAGCAGAGCGACAACGCTTATCACCACCACCGATCGAACTTCTCTTATGCTCTTTCTCTCTCTGTCGTCTAACGCGATGGAGATTCCTTTAGAGCTGATGAATTTCACGCTCTGCAGCAGAATTCATTCACAACAACAACAACCACAACGCACTCTCTAAAGTTTGGTGCGCGCGCGAGAGCTGAGGAACTGAGCGAAGCAAGAACACAACGCACACACCGAGAAAATCGCTTTCTCTGTCATCTTCAGCCAATTGATAGGAATTCCTGTTTGTATAACACCTCACCCTTCATGCTCACCGCCTGTTCGACGTTTTGCCTCGGAGATGACAATGATGAATTAATTGATCAATTTGGGATTGCGTAGGAGTGATTTGTATGTTATTGTTCAATGTACTGATCATATGTTGCGAATTGATGCTTCATCCTTTGATGGCCTAGAGTTCATACCTTGGTGCTTCCATTTACTTTGTTCTCAGTGAATTAAATACTGCTTTGGGAGCGTGGCTGAATTATCCTCTAAACTGAGAGCCTCCTGATTTATTTGTGAGCTTGAGGTGTTCCAAGTGCGCGACATCATAATCGTCTAGGTGTTAATGTAGAGAAATCCATGATTATTGCAAACGCTATGTCCGCGGTTCAACTGCCAAACCCAATGAAGAAACGGCAGTGAACAACTGATTAGGATCAACAAACAGGGGTTCAGACATGCGCACATAGTCTACCAGTCAGTTTCGTGATTGGAGAAGATGACTTTGGGCTTCAACCGAGTTAAACGCGATCAGAGTAAACTGAGGAATTTAGACGACTCCAGGGACAACGGTGGACGACGGAAGCGCTGCTCGTTCTTGCCTGAGTCTCCTCCGCTTCTGATGCGCAAGATTGAGTGAATGGATACGAAAGCGTGAATGTGAGCGATTGTGCACCTCCACCGATTGTCCCACTCCCTTCCATCTTTGTTCTTGTTTACATCATCCCACGGCCTTCCCACATCCTTCTTGTCCTTTTTCACGTTCTGCTGAGCCACCAATTCCATTTCCTTTCCTATATCTTTTACCATTTCCTCTTTCGGTCCTTCTTTTTACGATGCTGATTGGCGTTCTCCTTTTACAAAACCGACAAAAGTATTTCTTGTGTCACGGCACCATTTGAGTTCCCGTGAAGAATGAATGGGTGAAGGGAGATCTGCAGACGAGGAATTTTGGTGAAAGACCAAGTGAGGAGATCCTCATTTGTCTGGCGATGCTCCAGGTATTTTAAGAAAACGTGAGGGCCTTGTTCTTCCTTTTGCTTTCTGCCCGAGATCTCCAGCTTCCTCCTCCTAATTTCAGTCAAAACCTAATTCAATCTTTCCCCTACACGAAGTTTAATCCTTTCCTTCGTCAATTTCAGCATCCCCATTATCTCATATGCCTTGATTCCCGCTTTGCTTGAAATGGTCCGAGATTCCGAGGCGGCAAGGAATGGAGTCATATTTGGCATGATTAAATGACATTTCGGTCAAACAAATGGAGGGAACAGAAAGTGCTTGAATTTGGAGAGAGAGAAGGGGACCGAGCTTGTGGGCTCGACTTTAAATGACAGAATAGGCCTAGACTTCGCGTTAATGTAGGGCCGTTTATCGGGTCGATTAGAAACGAGTTCATGATCGGCCTCGTGCTTCCCTTGATGCAAATGCAGTATAGCTAAACCTAAATGTTTCTAATGTCTAAATGCAATGAAGAATATAAAATGTAAAATTATGCGACGTCGATATTTTTGTTTAGCGGTCAAATTATATCATTATCAACGAAATTCGATCCCTATTTTTCTTAGGAGATGAACGACTAATTTGTGAGCCAAAATTTAAGTGTCAATACAAACATGTCCTGGAAATGAATGTGGTACTTTAATTATGTGACCTATTTGACAAATTTTGTGAACTCATTTGAAACAATTTTTAGAGTCGGATTACAAAAAAACTGGATCCAAGGCCTTTTTCTCTCTCTTTGATGGTCCAACAATGTTTTACCTTGAGCTCATTGCGATTGAGAGAGAGACTCACTTCGGCATGATCGATACTTCTATTCAGGTAAAAAAACACAGGTTATAGAGTGGACAAAAATTTCTAAATGTTTTTTTAGTTTCCACCCAAGTAAATCGGCTATAATTAAAATTCAAAGAGTAGCAGATCAGATGAATTCATCTTTCAATGAGCCTTACTTCTTGTCTAAATAGTCAAACTCAGAGAATAGAACAAAGACTGACTAAATAACACTGTATATATAGTGTACAAATTTTCTACAAGAATACAATTACCACATCATACATATTAATTAATTATTCATTATAAAGTCATAAAGGTGGACAAAGTAATAGCTATCTATATCTATATGCTGCGAACTCAAGTTGAACAGTAAACAACTAAAATAACTTAAATAATGAATATTTGAGTAGGATATTACTTGCCAATCCACGTGATAATAGTGCTTCGGACTATCAAGACCTGGGGACCTAACCTTGTAAATAATTGTCTGCTAAAAGAAGATTGGATGAACTAATCATCATGGCATGGACATCCATAACGTTTCAAAAGCCAGAGTCAATATCAACGCCATGTAAAATTAGAGAAAGATATATGAAACTTTGATAGCTATCACAATGCTCATTCAAGAATCCAGAAGGTAAATATTTCGACAAAGCAAAAACAAAATCGGATTTTGCTCGTGTCGAACAAACATTCACTACTATCTATATTTAACCAGCAAATGAACCAATTCTACCATCCTGCGTATTCTCAAATCAATATCAAAGATGTAAGTATATTCCTACAAGAAGTTGTGCACATAAACAAGATCATGCTCAAGGTGGGAAAATCAGTTAAGGTAAACTTTAGTATCGATGCCACTGTTAATCAGAGATTGAACTACTGCTATGATTTTTCCTTCAAACTTGTCCCTGTCTCTTGGAGTATAGGAAGCTGTGCACACACCAGCTTCCCTTGCCCGGTCTGCCAAAATCTGGCCTACGGCCAAACATGCCAGTACGTCCAATTGAGACTTGAGCATGGATCTGATGTCCTTGGAATTGGTATCCGCAACAGAGACCCGTTGGCACGTGACCCTGTGAGTGAGTGAAGCTGAGACAAGGCGCGTCTCGGGCACGAACTGGAATTTTCTAGGTTTTATTGTGTTCTGGGCGAACCGGGTAAGGAAGAAGACTGACCTGGGTCGGGTCGGGTCGACCCGACTGACCCGGCAGTTCCGGTTTAGACTAAAACTTCAAATTAAGCTCAATTTCGACCAAATTTTCAAAATTAAACTCCAAAATTGAGTTCCTCGTCACATTTTAAACCCAAATATGTGATTTTCCCCAATTTTTGACATAACCATGTCCAAGATTTTCAAATTGTTGTATTCGGGTTATTGGGATTTTGTTCAATTCGATGTCTTAATGATCTGATTAGGAAAAATTAATGCCAAAATTGAATTACCCACATCTTATTAACCCTATAAATGATAGTCTTATGGTTCAACAATTTCGAATTGGACACGATTCCCAATTTGGGCTTAAAATTCCTAATTTCCAATTGAATTTTGGGGATTTTTTATTTTACTGACAAATTGTGCAATTGGAATGACTATTATGTAATTCAAGGTCCCAGAATCATTTTTTGTGAAGACACTATGACTTAAAAATGACTAGAAAATATTTAATTGTATTTTTGGTTCAATTTGGGTTTGATTTTGCCCAATTTTGGGAAAAACACATACCCGATTGAGATTTTCCAAAATTGATTATGTATTGATGAAATTGGATTTAAAATAAGACTAAGGAATATTTTTATGGAATTTTATGATTCCATTTGCTATTTTTCTTGATTTTCTCACTCATTTTGACTAAAAGAAATTAAAGAAAAATTCAGGAAAATGCTAAAAAAAATTATTTTTGGTCTAGAAATAGGTTTCTAGGCTTGACCAAGATTCCTAATCCTAATTTTGAGATTTTTGAATATACAAAAAAAAAGTTAAAAATCAGGTGTCAACACCACGTCCACAAATATGTCATGCATTCTAAGCTCTTTCATGTCATCACTATCTAATAACAAAGAAGAGTCCTGTAGGCTATGTAAATCCATAATCAACCTATCTCTTTTGCATTTTCGATGGTCTTGTTGAATTTTTTTGTATAAACCCAAACCCATACAGTAGGCAAGGATACACCTCATGAGAATACTCCCAGAGTCTAGAGCACAAATCAAGAACAATGATCGGATTCTCTCATCTTCTAAGTCATTGTAATTTAGTTCTACTATTGATTTTGCATCTGACACGTCCATATGGGTCGAAGCAATCCTCCACGCAGCCAAATCTCCGTATTTCAACCTTTTTGCCAACGAATCAATCAAAAGTGGCAAGCCTCCACAATTCTTGATTACTCCATCTACCCAGGGTTTAATATCAAGATCATTAACTCTGTCCCCCACTATCCTTTCAAAAAGTCTTCGTGCTTCTCCATCCTCTAACTCATTGAGTCGGAATTCTCGATCAGAGCCCATATCAGCGCGCAAAACTTCTCGTCTTCTAGATGTTATCAATAGCTTGTAGCCTCTTACTTTATTGTCGTATCCGCAAGGGATTCCAACTTCGTTCAACTCTATTTTCTTCCACAAATTATCTAAAATTATGAGAATATTTTTCTTAGAGTCACTCTCCAACCTTTTGCGCAGAAGGTCTGCTCTCCCACGGGCAGTTTCCTCATTCATTATCTGTAAACCCAATGCATAAGCGATTTCTCCCTGGATTCTTCTTAGATCTGGGTTGCGTGATACTTCTGCCATGGCAACCACACCGAACAACTTTTCTTCCTTTGCTCGCCTTTCGATGTCCTCCAAAAGCTTGGACTTGCCAACCCCACCTGGTCCATACACCCCAATCACATAAACCTTGTCATCAGCTATAGCCTTCATTACATCCTTTGTGATTGAAGCCCTCGACTCCAGGACATCTTCTTTCTTGTCAACAGATCTTGTAGTGGAAGTGGTAGGAGGGACAATTCCTATTGGAGTATTCTCATAGTAGACCTTTTGGAAGTTACTACTCGTGCTTTCATCATGGAGTCCTTGAATGACTGGAGTTATCTTCTTCACCTTCCTACCAATTGGATGGCGCACCAAGGGGTCGGGAAGGCACCCACCAAAGCAAGCATTGTTTGCACTTTCACCATGTTCTAACAGGATTCGTACTTCCTTAGCCTTATCCTCCACGCTCTCCAACCAAATCATAATATCATTTTCTATAGATTTTCCGTTATTCTTGGCTTCTTGGACGGAATGTTGCACCCTTTCGTTCGCAGTCTCCAGCTTCTTGATTCCATTTTTGAGATCTTCAAGGTAGCTCTTGTAGCACAGCACATACCCAAATTGGCGTCCAATGGGAGCAATCAGGTACTCACATAGTTTCGACACAAGATTTGATGCAGTGGAGGTAGCAATTGCCTCAGCCATAATTTCTTCTTTTAATTTCTAGAAATTCCTTTTTCCCCCCGCCTTTGTTCCTTTTGTTGTTGCCTCCTATGATTAATTGCTTAAACAAATCTCTGCGAAGGAAACTGAACAGAGAATAGAACTAATCACTGGATGAATGAAAAGAAAGGAAGAGCAAAGTGATAAAACAATGAGAACAGCGAAACAAAACCAAAGGGGGGAGAGAGAGAGAGAGAGAGGCACAATGCATGCAAGAAAGAATGTACAGTTACTGCACTCGGCGCACGCAAGTAACTAGGGGTGAGCACGATTCCAAGGTAGAACCGAGAATCGAAGAACCGAACCGGCGGATCCAGTTCAGTTCCCGGTTCTAGGGTGAGAGGTTCCGGTTCCCGGTTCCAATTTTTTAGGAACCGGCTCTCTCTCTTACTAAAAAGTAAAAACCCTAACTTCCTTAGTTTATTCCCAAATTTCCCCACGCTCGGTCACTCCTCCATTGCGCTCTCTCTCCCACTCCCAACACCCACGACTCGACGAGACCATCTTGCCTCTCCTCGCTCCATTCGGTGTCCGCCTCGGCTCTTCCTCTATCTTCATCAACTGCGGTCCGGCTCGTTCGCGGTCTCTGCTTTTTCTAGGGTTTCCGATTCTGGCTAGAGGGCGCAAGAAGGGAGCGAGCAAGGACAAGAGTAAGCGTCAGTTGAGTTTGGGCGATCTCGTTCTTGCCAAAGTCAAGGGCCACCCTGCTTGGCCTACCAAGGTTAGCGCTTTTTGCTCTGTATTCCCTTTGATTGTTGCGTGTTTTTCTCATTTTTGTTTGGGTGTTCAAGCGCAAGTTTTTACTTTCTATCTTCTTCTTTTTTTGCCTTCTCGCGGTTGGAAAATGGTTTAGTTTGATTTAATTTATGTTGTGAAGTGAATAGGTGGTCGGCCGTTACGTTTGGGGAGGCTGGTCTTTTTGGATTTTCTTACTTGCTCGCATTGTGTACTGTTTCTGCCCAACACTTTGGAAGTGAACCTTTCTGGATTTAATCATTGTGATGTGGTGCGCATCTTTTGTATGATGGTTGCTCCATGAATGATGATTTTTTTTGTCTTCAGATTAGCAGGCCAGAGGATTGGCACCAAACTCCAGACCCGAAAAAGCACTTTGTGCATTTCTTTGGAACACGAGATGTAAGCTCACGATCTGCTTGTACCACTTGTTTATTTATGTATGAGTAGCTAGCTTAATGGCTTTATTGAGTTTTGTGTATAGTTTCATTCCTTTCATGCAGTAACTACAGTATCGTGTTCATGAGCGGCTCTGTCTTTGTTTTTTTTGGTAAACCTTAAGGTTATTAGACAGGCCCAGTTCATCCACAAGAAGAAAAAGAAAAGGAAAAATCCTGTTAGTTTGTCTTCAACATTTAGTCAAAAGGTTCAGCCCGAGCTTCAAGACTGGCTTGAAGCCAGCCTTAGTTTCATCTTTGTGCTATTTCTTCTATGTAGCACACATGCTTTCCAATTTTTAAGTGATCAGCACTCCCTTGCACTTGTTGCTTGTGTTTATGGATTTTTTCAGCCCTGCTTTCCTACTGTGCAGGATTCCTGTAAGCTTGTCACCAGCTATCTTAGTTGGATGTTTGGTATGACTGCCCAACATCACCTACATCTTTAGAAAGGGATGTTGCAGCTTTTGGAAGCTGGAGAGCAAATACTTCACAGTGCAACACTTTCATAGCTGTATGACCTCAAAGATACCAAACAGCATCCGAGTATTGGATGGAAGTATGTCCTATGTAGTTGTTAACATGGTCTATCTGTTGTTCCAAGTTATTGATCTTTGTAGTAAAACTGAAAGTCGTGGACTTTTTCCCCCTTGATGAGAGAAAATCAAAGTTCCATGTTTGCTTCTTGAGAGAAGCTACATGGTCTGTTTGGTGTAATAAAATAGCCATGCTGAAATTCTTTGTGATGTAGTTGTGTTGTGATGAACTGGTTGGCTGGAGCAACTTCCTAGAAATAGCTTTAAGGTGCTGCCTTTGCATGTCATTGGAGCTTTGAGATATTTGCCAAAGATGTTGTAAAAGCTGAAACACTTTGGTTGTAAAAGCAGACACTAGCACAGACAGAAGAATGGAAGGGCAATTTGTTGATTAGAATCTCTTCCTTCTAGCACTTTGCCTCATGTCATGCTTTTGATCTTTTCTTTTTAAAGTATATTTGTATTGTCCCATAGGAAGTATCTTTTGATGAACCATAGAAAAATCAGGTTATTGCCTTAGTCATTAGTACGAGCTTTTGATTTGAGGAGTGAAGTCACCCATTAGATCAAAGTGTGAGTCATAATTCATCTATACTCTTTAGATACAGATGAAGAGCTGTCTTCTTTTCCATGCAACTCCTCTACAGGCTATAATCTGTTGGTAAAGGAAAACTGTATAAAGATGAAAGGACATGTAAAGTAAAGGTTACAGATTGAGCCTACTTGGTTGTTACGCTTGCAATCACTTGTATCAGTGATGATCATTTCTAGCAATATACTGTGGATTTGATATTTTGAAACTACAAGTAGTAATATTCTTAATCTTTGGAAATATTATGTCTAATCAAGGTTAAATTTTTAGGGATCTGTGGTAAGATTACCTTGTCACACGAAGTCTTCTCCTCTCCCTTCAATCGAATTAGAGCTATTACAATCTCGTTATGCATCCTTATAAATTGGTCCATTTTGTGAATGTGTCTGCTCATAAATTGAATGACTCTTCCATTGGCCTCTAGTTTGTAGTTGGATATAATAGAAGAGGACTTGAAGAGACAGAGCTGAAGAATTCAAAAGATAAATTTGATGGTTCTAATTTACTACCTTTGTTGGACTGCCACAAATGCTTTGAAGTCGTAGCTGCAGCGGTTAAGGATGCTATATCAGATTCAGTTGTAGATCTATAAAACCCCGAGGTAGAGCTCCCTTCCTCTCTCTCTGTCTCTCTCTCTCTCTCTCTCTCTCTCTCTCTCTCTCTCTCATGTTTATCTGACATCTTTTATTGCAGATTTCTGTTCTGGTTGAACTGCTACCCCTTTCGGTGGTTCTGAGTGGGTTGAAAATTAAGATTGAATTGGGTGAATTAGGTCCGTCAGCATTGCCCTTTTCTTCCTTCAACTTCCTATCTTAGTTTTAGTGTATAGTTGCGATTTTCATTATGTGTGCCGGTCTCTTTGATGTTGCGGATGGTAATTTGTTCTCGTGTTGTTTGCTTGGCTAGTGTTGTTTGCTTGACTTATCAAGATAACATGTCAATGGGGGTGGAGGGATGTGAGGAGATGACTCCGATCACAGAATTGGAATTGTCGGGCGATGAAAATGAAGAAGAGACATCCAATACCATGAGTGTGAGAAACAAGGTACTTGGTCTTCCTCCTTGTGATAAGAAGTATACATCCGATTGTTGGAATCATTATGAGAGAATCAAAGATAATGTTGGAAAAACATATCAGGTGAAGTGCTTTCATTGTAAGTCTGTGTTAAAGCACCGTGTTGCTAACGGTACTTCCGCAATGAGGAAGCACTTGACAACGTCCAAGAAATTTCCTCGCAATGTAGATAAAAGGCAAAAATTCTTTACACCACATAATGTAGACGTGGCTAGTAAGGCAGTGGGAGATTCGAGTACTGATAGTGTCTTATCGACATGGTCGTTTAATCAAGAACGTTCTAGGGAAATGCTTGCTCGGTTCATCATAATTGATGAATAACCTTTTTCCTTGGTTGAGCGTGTTGGATTTCGTGAGTTTGTCACTAAGTTACAACCTCTCTTCAAACATTTATCATGCTTTACAGTGGCTAGAGATTGCATGAAGTTGTATTTTTGTGAAAGAACTTGTTTGAAGACTTACTTTGGTAAGATTAATTCTAGGATCGCACTCATGACTGATACATGGACTTCCATTCAAAATCTGAATTATTTGTGTCTCACTGCACATTTTATTGATGAAAATTGGAAGTTGCATAAAAGAATCATCAATTTTGTGGTGATGCATAGTCACAAGGGTAGGGAAATTGAGAAAATGGTGGAGAAATGCATTTTCAAGTGGGGAATAGAAAAAAGGGTGTCCACAATCACCGTTGATAATGGTAGTTCGAATGATGTTGCAATTGCTTATTTGAAGGAAAGACTTTCAAGAGAAAGGTTGTTGATCTTAGATGGTAGTGTTTTACACATGAGGTGTACCGTTCATATATTAAATTTGATTGTTAAAGATAGCTTGACTACGGTACGTGAATCTATTGCACGTATCCGAAATGTGGTTAGGTATGTGAGGAGTTCTCCTATGAGGACCAACACATTGAGGGTGAAAGGATCACCTACAAGGGTTCGGTTATTCTTGACGTCACCATTAGATGGAACTCCACTTATCACATGTTAGACACCGCCATAAAATTCAGAAAAGCTTTTGAAAGGATGGAAGAAGACGATCCATCTTTTGTGGGTGAGCTTAATGATGATCTTCCTAAAGATGATGATTGGAAAAATGCCATTGTTCTTTCGGAATTTCTAAAACTATTCAATGATGCCACCAATCGGATGCCGGGGAGTTCATATGTTACTTCAAATTATTACTTTGATGGGATAGCTTTTTTGTATAAATATCTGAAAGATGTGGCGCCGGATGCTTCGGATCCTAAACTTCAAACTATGGATAGGAAAATGAAAGAAAAATTTGACAAATATTATGGGAGTTTGGATAAAGTGCATATGGTGGTGTTGATTGCGGTTGTGTTGGATCCTAGAGTCAAGTTGAATTATGTGAATTTCTTTTATGGACACATTTATGATGATGAATCAAAAGTTAATGATGCATTATAAGGTGAAGGATGCATTGGAGCGTTTGTATGAATTTTATGAGCAATCTTCTCTTGCTGCAAGTGATTGAAATTTTGGTGTCCAAGGTTTGAGTGCAAGTAGTAGTGGTTCTAATGCCGATGTCGGTGGTAACAAAGGTAAGAAGAAGTATGACCCCCAAGCTTTTCGGAAATCCGTTATGCACTCGAATCAAACAGAGTGCGATGACAACAAATCTGAGCTTGATCGGTATCTTCAAGATAAAAATGAAAATATTCTTGATCTTGACCTTTTGATGTGGTGGAAGACTAGCGGCTCAAAATATAAGATCCTATCTTTGATGGCTCGAGATATTTTGTCTATTCCCGTAACTACTGTTGCTTCGGAGTCAACTTTTAGTACATTGGGTCGTGTGCTTGATGGCTTTCGAAATTCTTTGACACCCAAAGTAGTGGAAGCTTTGATTTGTACTCAAGATTGGTTGAGAGCCGTTCGTGTGTCGATTAATGTTGAAGAGTGCATCGAGAATGCAGAAAAATTTGAGTTGGGTAAGTGATGTTTATATCTTTATATATTGTAATTCATTTTATATATCTAATAAGTGAATATTTAATTTAGTCTCGTTTTTTTTTAAATATGGATTGTCTTGATGAGGACATTATCGTCGGTAAATAGAGTTTACCAGTTGAAGAATGAATATATGTGGTGAGGCTTTCTAATACTTATTTTATTTTATTGCTTTAATGGCCAGAAGTGTTCTTTTATAACAATCTGCATTAATGAAATTGTTTATTTATCGCCATGCCTGTCTTCATGGATATGCATGCCACTATTTAATCTTTTAGTGATGCTTTTGAGGTTCATCTGCTTTGAGTGTATAAAAGTGCCATGTTGAAAACCATAGACTTGTTAGGTCCAATTTATTATTGTAAATGCACATTATTTTCTCACCAGTGCCTTTTGCGTAGTTTATGTATTTGAGTGTGGCCGGATGTTGTGATTGTTATCACGTGACCTCTGCTTTTTACTTTTCTCTGTGCAGGCTAGCATACATACTTCTGGATAGCATTCATTCCATTCATTGTGAGTTACATGTTCTGTTCCCCTTAAATTTATTGCGCATGTCTATCTTCATGGTAGCCATTTATGTAAAAGTGAATATATAGCCGTGATTAATGAACTAAAAATGGAAAATATGAAGCAGGTGCTGGAAAGCTCTTTCTAAATTGTGTTTTCTGCAAGTATGGGTGAAAATTTTAAATAAAAATTTGATGGAGAATCTAACTTAGTTAACTTGCACTCAAACCGGTGGTTCCTAAAAAATTTGTTCTGTCATAACTAATTTCTTAATTAACTTGTTTGCTTGTCTTTTTGCAATCTTTTTGCACGAGGAGTTTTCAAACTAGAGTTGTTTTTGCCTGAAGAATATCCTATGGCTGCTCCTTAGGTAATTTTCACTTAAGCACGATCTTTTCTTTCAATATATAGTAACTTCTATCGTCATGGTATCTGCTGCTTGGTTCTTTCCAGCACAGAATCTCAATCAAGTAGAGGTGCTAGATTGCAAGTGCTCTGTAAATGGGTTGTGAAAGCTACATAATCAATTTATGCCTTGGTGTTGACAATGAAAGTTACATGCTAGTTTAAAGACAGTAATTGCTTACCCAAAAAAAAATAGATGAATAGGACATTGATTCATCTTTCCCTTTATAATTGTTTCAAACTCTCTTCTTCTTTTTTTCTCGGTTTCATGGTGGGGTAATGGCTTTCCTCTTGTTTCTAGAGCCTTTGCATTTCTGTCAGAACTGTGTCTCGACTCTTTGCTCACTTCTGCTATCTAGAAAGTTTAGCAATCACAGTCAATTTTTATGAATCGTTTTGGTCTTCCTTAGATGGTTCCAAGGGATTGTTGATTTTTGGGCAGCTTTAGTTGTCCGCAGTGAACCATGTTTAAAGTGGAGTAGGATTTGCCTCAGGTGGCAGGCAAAAAAATTGATTGGCTTACTGTTGTAGGTCATATTGGATTTCGCTTCATTCTGACTGCTGAGTGGCTCCCTCCAGTCTGCATGTTGCTTGTCCAAGCAACTCTTTTTACGGTTCATCTATTAGCTATTCTGATTGATTTGATTGGTTATGCGAACATATGCATATGGTTGCTTAGATAACTCTCAGATGAAGCTGGACATTGCCAGCGTTGCTGACTCTTGTGTAAGGACCCGGGGTCTACACTGTGTAATATTGTCCGCTTTGGGCCCACTGACCCTCACGGCTTTAAAACGCGTTGTCTGGGGTAGGGCCCCAATCCATCCCAGTCCAATATTGTCCTCTTTGGGGATCATACACCCCTCAAGGCTTTGTGACTCCCCCCTAAGCGATGTGGGATAGAGAGATGCCCCCCTTGCCATCCTAGAAGCCTGCTAGGAGCCGCTCCTTGTCCAGGCCCTCTGGCCCCGGCGACCACTCCCCGCCCTCATCGGACCGGGTCATTACATTCTCCCCTCCTTCGAGCACAGCGTCTTCGCTGTGGCCCCACACGCGGTCGGGAGTCTGCTCTGATACCATTTGTAAGGACCCGGGGTCTACACTGTGTAATATTATCCGCTTTGGGCCCATTGACCCTCACGGCTTTAAAACGCGTTACACAGAATAGAGAACCCAAGCCTTATAAACTAGCCCAGGACTCCCCCCTAAGCGATGTGGGACAAGAGACATGCCCCCCTTGCCATCCTAGAAGCCTGCCAGGAGCCGCTCCTTGTCCAGGCCCTCTGGCCCCGGCAACCACTCCCCGCCCTCGTCGGACCGGGTCGTTACACCTGGGTCTTCACTTAAGTACTTTTGAAGTTTTTATTTGTCCTGAGGTTTTCAACTGCTTTATTCAAAAATAGTGGTGATTCGTGGGGTTTAGCTTCTAATCATTACTTGTGCCTGTTAGGTTTCTCACAAAAGTATACCATCTCAATATTGAAAAGATACTATTACAACTTTTTTTTTCTTTTTTTGGCTGGAATATCCATCTGATTCTTAGGCTCCGTTCGTTTGGCGGAAAATATTCTCCCGGAAAATATTTTCCGGGTTTTCCGGTGTTCGGGGGGCGGAAAACGTTTTCCGTGGGAAAATATTTTCCTTCCCCCTTCACAAAATAGCCTAAGTCTATGGAAAATGATTTCCGCTTCTTCAAAAGTGGAAATCATTTTCCGGAGCTTCTTCTTCTTCTTCTTCTTCACTAAGGTCGGCCGCCGCCGCCGCCCCGCCGCCGCCCGCCGCCGCCCGCCGCCGCCCGCCGCCGCCGCCGGCCGCCGGCCAGCCGCAGCGCCGCCACCCGCCGCCGCCGCTCGCTTCCGACGCCGCCGCCGCCGCCCGATCGCCCGGCCGCCCGTCGCCGCCGCCACTGCCGCCGGTCGCCGCCTCCGCCCGCCGGGTCGCCGGCCGCCCGGCCGCCGCCGCCGCCCGGTCGCCGGCCGCCCGATCGCCGGCCGCCGGTCGCCGGCCGCCGGTCGGCGCCGCCGCCGCCGCACGGCCGCCGTTCGTCGGCGAAAAATATTTTCCAAAACTTTTTCATATTGGTTGCCGAACACCGGAAAATTATCTTCCGGGAAAATATTTTCCAGGAAAATGACTTCCGGGAAAATATTTTCCAAAAGAAGAATGTTTTCCGCCAAACGAACGGAGCCTTAATGTGATTTTTCTTTTAATCAGCTTGGTAGGATCTGCCTCAACATCCTGAAAGACAAGTGGAGTCCTGCACTACAGATTCGACCTGTACTTCTTAGGTATATTAATGATTTCCCTTTGCATATTTGAGACTTCTGGAAAGGGACTGAATAGGCTGCATTGGCATTCTAACAATCTAAACAGCTAAGGAGCACAAAAGTTCTACCAAATTGTTATAGATGTAGATCTTAGTTTTGCTGGCTCACGGCATCCCTCTCCCTTTATCTTGTGCTTTTATTATGGAGCCTAATGCCATAGCATTTGTTTGAGTTTGTCATGCAAAATGGTAAGTTTACTGTATTTGGAATTGAGGTTCGGCATGTTTATGTTGGATTTTTTGTACAATAGCCGATGGAAGTGTTTTCTGATGTACTGTTCTGCAGAATTCAAGCTTTTTTGAGAGCTCCAAACCCCAATGATCCGCTATATGAGAATATCGCTAAGCATTGGAAGACAAATGAGGCTGAAGTTGTGGAAACAGTTTCTATGTCTTTTGTGGTTTTACTGGGTCTCGGTAACTGGTTCTCCGATCATGTGGTACTTTGAATAATTGAGATTCAGATGACAAATTTTTATTAGCTGATTTGATCTTTTTCACTTCTTATGCTTGCGTAAATAATCACTTACTATGGTCCAGTGGAAGGCCAAAATTTAATTTTCTGCTCTATCCTTGTTATGGTCCAGTAAAAAGAACCTGTTAGAACCTAGAACCGACCCTGGAACCTGGAACCTGTGACAGGGTAGGTTCTAGGTTCCACGTTTCGACGGGTAGGTTCCAGGTTCCAAAAAATAAGGAACATGTACTCGAGGGTAGGTTCCAGGTTCCAAGTGGAACCTGTAAGGAACCTGGAACCGCTCACCCCTACGAGTAACACGTTACTGGTCAACGTGGACAATTTGCAGATGATTTTACGTGGACAGGCAACACGTTACTGGTCTACCACCTGCAATAGAAGGCTAAATTTCTTTCATTTTCTTCTCCTGTTCTCAAAGTGTTTCTGAGAGAAATTTGAATGAGTATTCAAATTTAAATCCAAAACATGCGGAAGAAACATTTACATGCATACTAGTTCAACACCCGTCGATTCTTTTAAATATTAACAGTTAGGATTATTTAGAACTCTTTCCCAAAAAATTAAAGCTTAAATAATTTCTTTCAGTTTTATAATTTTGCTAGAAAGCAATAAATACTTTTTAAAACAACATATGATAGCTGGTACTTGTTTTGACTTTTGTACCATCCCCCACTTGGATTTGAGTATGTGAGAGGTTGCAAACACAGCAGATGCTATGTCCCCTGTAATTTAAAAAAGAATTTCTTTAAAATGGCTATATGTAAATGTGAGAAATTATAAATTAGAGGACAACACTACACCAAGTAAAAGTTAAACTCCTATTACTTTATTTTAAATAAAAGAAATAGTGCAAGACTATTTCCACCTCTTCCTGATTTGATACACATCTTTTATTATCATTGATCAAAATAACCTTCTATGTTCGGAAACAAGATCAATCGCCAATTGACCCTACTTTTCTCTCTCTCATCTCCTCTTCATGTTCTATGTTTATTGTTAATTGACTAAAATATCCTACTCTGTTTGAAAATCAATTGAACATTAGTTAACCACACCTTTTGTAAATTACGATGGATTAAATTTTCTAAAATCGTTAAGTTTGTAATTTTGGTCCATAAAATACGACTTTGCTTAGATTGTTAATTCTTTAATGTAGCTTTTCTATTCATCTCGAATAGATTGGGATGGCGCAAGTCCATTTTTATACCGAGCTCCACTCTACTTTGCTTGGATTGGGAAGTCGCAAGGCCATTTTTACACTAAACTCTACTGACTCTACTTTTTGACTTTGAGCAAAGTGTTCGAATTAATTCTCTCTCTCTCTCTCTCTCTCTCTCTCTCTCTCTCTCTCTCTCTCTCTCTCTCTCTCTCTCTCTCTCATGTGCAACACAAATCCGCATGCTCATTGTTCATCAACAAACAACTTGCAATTAAGATATTGATTAACCGAGAAATGTATAATATTAGTGGAAATTGATGAGGACAGAAATCATCACGTAGTTCTGTCCCATTTGCCGAGATAAATTATTGCAAATGACCGTCGAACAAGGGCAAACAAAACAAGGCATCGTAAAATCACAACTTTATCATCAAAGTTGTAATTAAGAAGTTGACTAATCGAGAAATATTAGAGGGAAACGAAATGATGAAGGGGGACATTTTTCAACTCAAGCCGAGATGGAGTCGGTCGTTTCTTGTTGACGGCAGCTGACCTTAATGTCCTTCTTTCTTCATTTTTTTTATTAACCATTCTATTGCGACTTGGACATAGAAAGTTATTAACCACTGGGGTTTACCCCAGTGGCTATCCTTCTTACTGGGGAAGGGGGAGATGGGGAGTTCGATTTCCTGCCTTCTCAGGGGATTTGGAATAGAGGCAGGATAAAAGTCTGAGAGTGAGATGAAAGTTAGAGTATAATGAATAAAAAAAAGAAAAAAGGACGCAAGAAGTTATTAAGGAAGAGAGTTGGGGCCCAGTGTTCATGGTGGGATGGAGTGTCGTTTGGTGTTCTCACATAAATGGTGGGCCAAATCAAGACAAAAAAAATCATGTATTTACATCAGAGAGGTCAAATTGATTTCTTTTTTTTTTGGTAAGGGTAGTCAAATTGATTTCACTTTCTAAATATGTCAAGTTTTTTGTTTTTTACTCTCTTTGATAAATATTTCACTTTCTAAATAGGTCAAATTGGTTTTGCTTTTTTTATTGATAAGAAAGACACGTTAGCATACATGTAAGCACCATTTGTCATGTCAATTGCCACGTAATTTTTTTGGATGGAAAAAGCAACGATGACACATTTTTATCGCTCAATTAAGAGTAAGTGCTTTTTCGAATACATTTGAAAAGTTGAGTCATTTTTGTCCCTTTGATATATATCAATACATGCTTTTGCGACGATCGTGTACGATAATTTACGGACTTGGAATATTCATCTAAAGAACCTTCACGTCCTAAATAAAATAAAATGAAAGGACTTGATTTTTCCAAATATTTTTTTATATGAAACATGAAGTGCTTGAACTTTCAAAGTCGACTAATCCACGTGAATGCATGTAAATTACCGAATTGATGAACATCGGGACTTATCATATGCTTTTTGAAAGTGTTTTTGTAGGAAGAGAAATAGGAAAATTCTTGTTTTTTTTTTTTTTGGTAACCGAGGTGTCCGGGCCAGCTTGCGTGCACCTCGACTATTCCTCGGGGGAGACTAGCACATCAACCCACCGCCATGGCCCCCCACTTAAATCACAAGTGCTCAACTGGGGAATCGAACCTGGGACCAGTGCGCCTAACCACACAATCCAAAGTACGCCCTAACCAATTGAGCTACCCTTGTTCGTGATCCCTAAAGTTGAACAAATTTGCTACTTCATCTATTAGGGATCAAATGCGGAAAAAACCTTAATTTCATGAAACACTTCGAAAATATATGCGATAGGCGAGGCTTGGGCTTGGAAGATATCTATGGTGATTGAGCCCATTGGGGCTGTGGGAGAATAGTAGCAAAATTCCAACGAAGCAATTGTAATTTGGCTCAAACGTCGAGCACATGTGGATATTGTTGAAAATTTGTATCGAGTTTGAGTTCGAATAGGAAAGTTTCCTATTTCAAGTAGGTTTCATATTTTGGATAGGTTTCCTAATTATATGGTTTCCTAATTGGAGAAGGTTTCCTAAAAGGAGGTTTCCTAATTTGGATCCAATTCTTGCTTATAAATAAGTAAGGGATGTTATTTGTGAAAATTATCAAAGAGGAGTTTCTGCTAGGGAATTTCACCATGAAGATATCCGAGTGTTTGTAGCGATTAAATCTTATGATAAGATTTGTGTACAATTCCTTCGTGAGATTGAGAGATTATTTCATAAGGAATTATTGGAATAAACACTGCGCGAGTTATTGGATGTAATTGGGGCTTGGGAAACACTTATAGTGTTTTAGTAACTCGAGTGGAGGGCCAGAGTTCTCGGTTTGACCGAAAAGTCAACCTTTAACTTATTAAGAAAATGATGTCAATATATAAATGAAATGAAATAGCACTTGACAGACATAAAAAAAAACTCCTTTTGGTCGAAAAAGGGACTCCATCGCAATCAAGATTCCAAAGTCTTGAGTTTTTACTCTATTGAACTTGTCGGCGAAAATTCAGGTGTCAACATGAGGGGAGGGAAAGTGGAAAGGGGATAGGGGCAATCTCTATGGCAATCCAGTGGCTTTGTGGTAAAGTGTCAATCTCTTAAGGATGTAAATTTAAAACGCAAATCCTTCTTTAGAGAATTCATGTCCGTTCATACTAAACTGTTTAATTGTGGATTAACATCAAGTTAATATCATTGGTGAAGTGAAAATTCACTCAAATGTTGTTGATGGCCTAATGGTTTAGAGAATTAATTACGGCAAACGAGTCTCTAAAGCCCCCTCCATCTTTAGTTCCTCCTACCCCAAAAAAGGAGAGATCAATGTGGGCCAGCCATGATCCTCCCCCTTCTCATCAATGTGAAAGCTAACTAATGCCTACTTAGACAAGAAAGTGTCCCCAGCAGATTAGTGCGCAACTGCTAACGCAACAAGTGGGTGCATGTCCACTATGCATTCGCGTGTGTATATAGTTATATCCAAGCCATCACTTTCATGTCGCGTATGGAATTGTATTTTGGTTTTGCTTTGTATTTCTCTTTTCTTTTCTTTTTTTGGTTTGTTTAAAATTTGGATTGCATGGACCATCGCGGATATTTATTACATGCTTTATGAAATTGAAAGTGATTTGTCTTTTGTGAATATTTCAAGTGAAGTGCATGCAATTTATATGTATATATGAGAACTTGGTTAAATTAGGGATGTAAGTTGTAGGACCCGATCTACATAGTTTAGTGACCTGAGCCATCAAGAATGAAACTTTGTATTACCAAAAAAGTCATAAACCTATTGTACAGTGGTCAATTTAGTTATAAATCTTTCGATTATGTCACTTTAGTTCCAAACCTTTTGACGATTTGTCAATGTAGTCATTTTAGCCAATTTTAACTGGAAAGTTTTGATGTGAACGCCAACCGTACCACATGACATAGCTGGAGCTGACGCAGACAATTTTTCCATTTTTTTTAATTTTTCTAAGTTTTTATTATTTTTTGTATGTTGGCCGGAATTGGAAAAAAAAGAAGAAAGAAAAGAAAAAAGAAAAAAAAATAAAACATTCAAACACATGGATAACCACAAGTATTTGAAAATTTCATGAAACAAGCACTCACATAGGGATGGGGATTAAATAGAAAGTACATGGATAACCACGGGTCCGTAAAACATTCAAGCACATGAATAACCATAAGTACTTAAAAATTTCGGTATAAAACACTATACAAGCGATGGGGTTTGAAAAGGAAGCACCTGGATAACCACAAATACTTAAAACATTTAAATACCCGGATAACCACGAGTATTTGAAAATTACTATAAACAAGCACTTGCACGAGCGACAAGGCTTGAAAAGGAAGCACCTAAATAACCACAAGTACTTGAAACATTCACACACTTGATATCCACAAGCATTTAAAAGTTTCTATAGAATTATTAATTTGAAGTCCAGGTAACGG